AACCGATTTAGATGAAATTTCATAAAGAGATAGTTTGAGTCATGGGAGAGGACAAAGGATTATAATTTTATCCCAGAAATCGCCCTTTAAGAAGGTGTAAAGGAGTGGAAGTTTGTAAAGGTAATCACTAACTGCTGAACCCATTTAGATGAAATTTTGTATGGAGACAGTTTGTTTCTTGAAGAAGGACATAGGATACCACGATAATCGACATACACGCGGGTGGATCCGCGGGCAAATGCAAGTATTATATATATATTATAAGAAAATGTTCGTACATCTTGTCCTACAAATAGGTGAACTCGCAGTATTTACTACGATTGACCTGTCCTGTCCTATTTTTCAGTGCCACCCATACTTGTCAACTAAAGCCATAGAAATGTATTTATAATAATAATATATACCGACAATTATGTTCATAAGCGGCAAACAATGCGATAACGTAACAGGTTTTACTGTTTATCATCAATCATCATCATCAACAGCCTATACTAGTCCACTGCTGGACATAGGCCTCTCCTTAGAAAGGAGGTTACTGTTTAATTGCCTCATATTTCGACTAGATTCAACTGGCCGTGGTGAAAGGGTGACTTTGGTAGCCTGAAAATAGGGCCAGTGAAATGCCTATAATACCTGTTTGGCTATCTAAATATTATAATAATTTAAATTACCAGGTCATAGCACCATGCTTATTTATTTCTCAATCATTTAAACATTCCTAAATGAACATAATAGAGCTTATAATCCATGTTGAATTAATTATTGCTGACGGATTAAGAATACGAAGTGTCCACCCCTATTAATTCCGTGGGGGTAGTAAGAGCCAACTAAGGGGGCAAACTACGCAGGACAACAGCACTGCAAAGGAAGGCAAACTTAAAACAAACCCTATACCAATATATAACCCTATGTTTGGCCAGCGTGGTATAGAAAGCCAAAACCTCCTTTTTAAGGAGAGGCCTATGTCCAGCAGTGGACTGTTATAGGCTGTTGATGATGATGATGAAAGCTTATAAAAATGTTTTTGTATTTTTGTAATAGAATTAATAAATACTATTCTTGTTTTGTTATTTTAAACGGAACTATGGGTAAAAAGATTGGAAACAAAACTATTTTCTGTTTTCAGTTCTCCTGCTAGCAAGCGGTTACTGAATAACACTTAAACATGTCTCTCTATTAACTACACTCTGTTGGTGTACAAAGAGTACAAGATCTTATCCAAAATGAGTTGGCAGAAAAATCACAACGCTAGTACCCGACTGTGTATTTTGAAATTTATGTATGTGTATGTTTATGTATTGTACGTGTATACTTGTTACCTCTATGTATATATGTAGTACTGAACATAGTAGTTTATTTATGTATATTATATCTAAGTTAGAGTTAGATTAAATTGTAAATTTAATATAAATCAATCAAATTTCCTGTTCTCTCTTCCGCATCATTTTTCTACATCACCGAAGGTCAACTGGCAGAGAATGCCCTGGGCATTAAGTCCGCCTGTGTACAACTTGTGCGTTAAGTTATTATAAATAAATAGTGTTTGAATAGCTTTTTCGAACACCGATAAATTGCTTTGAATAACGACAACCTTATAATTGATCGAGGTAATTCAATGAACGTAGTGGGTCTACGTAATCGCAGACAGTAGCGTCTACGTAATCCTTTTCTACATCACCCGAAGGTCGACTGGCAGAGAATGCCCTAGGCATTAAGTCCGCTTGCGTACAATTTGTTCATTCAGTTATTATAAATAAGTAAATAAATAAAACCGGTGTTGGTTCGTAGCTTTTTGCTGTGTGATTGAGTTTACTGGAGCAAAACCAACCCCCATCCTCTGAGAAGGCAGCGCACTTAAAGCATTGCAACGCGCTTGTGTCTTTTGAATTGCAGGAGTCCATGGACGGAGGTGGTCACTTGCCATCAAGTAACCCGTCTGCTCGTTTGCTCCCTATTCCCTGCCCCTATTCTGTAAAATAAATATAATGTTTTTATATATTTAATACGCACTGCAATAACGCATAATACGACTGCAAGGATGGCGTAGTGGTTTCACACCTAGTCACCTCGCCGCTTCCTACTGCGCTGAGTGTTGTGGGTCCGATCCCCACATGGTAAGACACTTTGTGTGATTCACAAATTGTTGTTCTGAGTCTGCGTGTTTGTGTCCATTTCATGAACGTTTGTAAAGTCCCCCGCGGCACAAGATATACTCCCTACTGCGGGAGTCGTCTTTACAGAAAAAAAATATTGTAACGAAATTTGGAAACTTTAGGGTAATAGGAGAAGAGTACTATATGAAGAAATTATTTTTTTGGTTACTGGGGAATTTTATAAGCCTCAAACTTTGAGACTATTACGTAAGATGATTTAAGATACACGCTCAAAGTTAACCAATCTCTTTAGAGGTTATTAAAAGCCCGTTCGATATAAATTGTTTATAATACCCCGGGGCCACGTTACTTGAAGAATGTAAAAGTTTCTAAACGAAGATGGCCCCTATTTTTCGTCGCATAATATTGTAATTTCAAAAGTTGTTTGGAGTATTCTGTATGTCTACATAGAGATTATGACGTAGCAGTTTTGGTTAATATATGAATAACGTATCTTATTTTATTTTGTTCAGAATATTAACAGCACAAATAATGTAAGATTAACATTATAATACTGTAACAACTTGACTGCACGGATGGCGTAGTGGTTTAAGCGGTTGCCACACCACGTCCTACTGCGCCGAGTGTTGTGGGTCCGATCCCCACATGGTACGTCACTTTGTGTGATTCACAAATTGTTGTTCTGAGTTTGTAAAGTCCCCGCGACACAGGATTTACTCCTAGTGCGGGAGTTACACAGCTATTCAGGTACACAGGTATTCAGCACAGGTATATTGATAACATTTTAAAGCATCTAAATCTTAGATGGCTGGTAGGAGCTGGTTGCGAGAAGCCGAAAATCAATCGAAGTGGCGTGCAATAGGAGAGGCGATGATGATGAAATCTTAGATACTTAGGAACGTGATTTGTTCGTTGCTTTGACGGATGTGTGAAGTTACTGAAGGTTTAATACCCCCTTATCTCCTCCCTAATTTGGGGAGAGGGGTAGATAAAGGGTAGCATTGCACTTGTGTCTCTCGATGTACAGGTGGCTATGAGTGGCGGTAGTTACTTACCATAAGGTGAGCCGATTGCTCATTTGCTACCTATTACAATTTTTGAAAGATCTATCTAATAATGAATATGACAAAAGTGGTGTCTTGTTGAACGGAACCCTAAAAATAGGCTTTATTGTCAACAACAAAAGATTTTTTTAACTCGATTCTAGTAGAAACTTCTAAACTCCCCTCAGAGGTGCCCAAAACTCGTTTACCACCTGTGATATTAAAAAGTGTTCCTTACTGTTAGATCTAACGCGTTTTAAATTAATTATACAATACTCTAATACAATTTTATTCGTAGACGCAGAAATAAATAAAACATGTGTGTTTTATTTATACATATAATAAACAAATACTAAGTTATGCATAAAATAAATACAATTAATATGCATTGTTACTTTTGAAATAATTACTGTGAAACAAAATGTGTTGTTTGTCAACATAGATCAAACAAACAATGTTGAGTATACATATATGAATGACTTATGTGCTTGCCTAATGCATAAACATTAGGCGAGGTAATATCAATATTTAATAATTTACTATTTATTGTTGTATCAATATAATTAATCTGAGAGAAATTAAGAATTTATTGTGACTGTCAGACTGCAGTGAATCAACTATGAATTGAGTCGTTGTAGTTTCTTACTTCTTCTTCTCTATCTGTGAATTGCAAAAGAGTGGTCATGAGTTTGTTTGCCTTTTCTTCTCATAAGGCTCAATCCCTTGGAAACGAGCGATTATAGATCGGCACAGGCATATCATAGATTTTGTATGGGTTTGATTTTTGTTAAATTTATATGCTTACTATTTGACAAAACAGAGATTGTTGTTTGTGTGTGTGTTGATCTATGACTTTAGAGTCTACATAAGAGATGATTTCAAACAATTTAAAAAAAATGAAATAAAAAGAGTTTGAATTTGAGTTTGAGTTTAAAGAACAGGTACAAGCTTTCAATATCATCATGTTCCTCCGAGCATTTTTCAAAAATTAGATTGGGATCGGCTTTAAGTCCACTACGATACGGGCCGGCCATCAGAACTTCACAAGCCAAGTACTAGGCGATATCGAAGTTCTGAAGAAAGGCTGTTGTTGGACTTTGTAGGGCTCCAAGCTACAGAACAGCTGTCAATGGACATTGGTCATTAATTTTTTTATGTTAAAGGGGGTCAGACCAACGGGTCGCTTGATTGGTATGGACACCTCCGGGTTGGTGGGTTAGTTTGTAAAACGGTAACATCGTGGTTACTACATACGAGGGGGTCATCTACATGTCGTAGATGGCTCGGGGTACGTCGGGGTAATTTCCTTCCTGCATCTGGATCTCCGGCTACTGATACCTGAGGGGATTTCCGCAAGAAAAACAAGGGTGGACTCCAACTAAATGTATCGATTGCCACAGAACAGCTGTCAAGTGACATATCATTGGTAATAAAATTTTCTATGTGGGGGGGGGGGGGGGGGTCAAACCAACGGGTTAAGACCAACCAACCAATGACTCATGGTCGTGTGGGTGCTTATCGATGGGACTGTTACCCATCTGATAAGTGCCTACGCGCCATAGGCCGGTTGTGGCGACGCCGAAAGAATATTGTTCTGGAAACGACTCGTGGATGTGCTTCGAGACATTCCTCTGTCACAGGGAATCATTCTGGGTGGCCACCTAACTGGTCGTGTGGGTGGGGGGTGTGAGGAGTTTAAGCGTGTTCATGGTTTGTTTGGATACGGGACTCGCAATAGAGAGCTGCTGCTGATCTCGCCATCGTGAACACATCCTTCCAAAAGAAATCCGAACATCTCATCACCTACAGGAGCGGAGGTCGAGCTACCAAAATCCTATTTTTCCTACTCATTAGGAGACACCAAATCAGCAAAGTGGTCAACTACAAGGTCATACCCTGAGCGAGTCTCACTACGCAGCACCGTCTTCTTGTAATGGGTCTTTATATGAAGCCCAAAGACAATCGTATCGAGCGGTGCCAATGCCAAATCAGGTGGTGGCTGCTTGATGAAGCCACCGCCGACACTGAAGGCGAATTTGTGCAGGAGTAGTGCAACAAGATGCAGACGATTATTCTTGGAGCGGCGAAGGCGGTGCTTGGCGTGTCTAAGGGTGGACGCAAGTGTGACAAGGATATTACGCGACGCATACATGGTTGCAAAGCTTGCCACAAAGAGAGCAGTAGCCCAGAGTCAGAAGTGGCCGCTTACAACCTCTTTATGAGAAGTTGGAATTCTCTGAGTGGCAGAATCTAATCTATAAGTAGGCGCGCTCTAGGATTAAAGTGGCACAGGATATTTCCAAGTGCCGCTGTGTGAAAGATCTTGGGAGTGACCTGTTATGCAAGGACGGACAAAGCCGACGGAGTCCCCACGAGGCATGGAAGGCGATAGGTCCTTGTGGTGTGGGCACCTTATCTAATCTTTTTAACCGCGTACTTTTCACCGGGCAGATCTCAAGCCAATGGAGGCTGAGTATTATTACTCCAGTCTTAAAAGGCAAAGGGTAGGTGCAGGATTGCCGAAATTTTTGGCCAGCCGCTAGGGGGAGGCGTCCGCGTGTGCCGGACGTCGCCTAAAGAGAGGTTAAAAATTTTGAGACGGAGCCCGCACCTGGAGCGGGCCGGCGCTAGGAGGGGTCCGGATGTCTTAACAACAGCTGTTCCCGGATCCCTCCTATTACAGACGCAGAGTGGCACACCGTGTGGTTTTAGTCGGTCCGAGTCCGAGGGAATTTCCACACGTTAAAAAAAAAAAATACAGGGATTGCCGAAATTACCGCTATATAAAGGTCATGTCTCATGGTAGAGAGGTAGAGGTAGAGGACCTAGGTACATCGAAGTGCCAGAAATTTAATTTCTAAATTACACGTGGTTCCCTGGCTAACAAGATGGAGAACCAGTACGCCGTCTCAGATACTAGTGTATCTGAGACGGCGTGCGGTTTTTGCGTGGTTCGAGTCTGACATAACCACCGGTGGGTGGTATCCTAGGGGATTTACGCACAGAAAAAGAGGGCTTATTTACCAACAATAAATATCATATTTCAAGAAACTACTACAGAACGCCAGACAGAAATTCCAAGTTTTCTCCCGACATTTACCAACTCACATAGACTGAAATCGTTACACAGTTAACACTTCTGAACAATTAACAGAGTTCCTCACCAAAATTGCTAAGTTTAATATAATACTAGACTTCAATATAATATTCTATAACTTTTATATAAGAAGAGACTTATTAACATTAAACTAGACTAGACTTATTATTATTATTATTTACATTTGTTTTAAAACTACATTATTATGTTCTTATTAGTGATATCATACTTATAAGTTAAATGAGGTTAAATGAGGAGAGAGAGAGAGATACTGTGCATAGAATATGCACAGTCTCATCTGCAAAGGCTTGTGTGTGTTCCTCGTGTCTTGTTCTTTTTACAAGTTTTAGAATTTAGGTGGTTTGTAACATTTTCAATTTAAATGTGTATTTATAGGCTAGTTTGAAATACAGGTATGCGATACTCGGTAATCAATCGAGCGGGGTCTAGCTCGAGTTATTTTTATTATTTATTGTTTTTTATAAAATTAATTTTGACAATAACTCTCTTAACAATAAAATTCTTGTGGGAGAGTCACGTTTCTTCACGAATGGGATATTTAATAATATATCACACACATCTCACACAAGGCCATCTGATCCCAAACTAGGCAGAACCTGTGCTATGGTAACCAGACTGCTGATAAATACACTTTTATATTTTTAAATACATACATATGATAGAAAAATTACACCCAGACAAAGAACAAATGACCGTGCTCATCACACAATATTTGTCCTGGGCCTCCGGCTTCGCAGTCAGGGTCACTAACCACTAGACCAACAAGCCCATCCGTTTCGACCGTAGCAAAACCACCTCACCAGCCTCACAAGAAGTCGTTTTGAGAGCAATTATTTTGATGATTTTCATGAGTCATGAGTTGGTGAGGTTGCCCTTAGCATGACCCCCCTTTGAGGCCTCAAAGGACGGCAACACTCTTGTTCCTCTTGAGTTGTAGGTGTTCATGGGTGGCGGTGGTCACTTACCATCAGGTGACCTATCCGCTAGTTTGCTCTCTATACCGTGAAAAAAACACTAGTCGTTTTATCGTTCTCGTTAATTATTGTAAACACAGCTTCTAAAGGATTCCGTGAAAACTTTTTGATTTTATATTTCACCATTTCGTATACTCATTTCCAATGTTAACTCAATTTATTGTTAGCACCTGTAATTAGTTTTCCTCGTCACCTTAAAGTCTATATATAACATATAACTCACAAAGATGACTACGACCCTGATTTTAAGGTCTTTATTCTACTAAAACAATTTCTACTTGAAATAATTCAAATCACATTAAACTATTTTACGAGCTTAGAGAAAATAAATGAACATTTTTCACGACGCGATCAAAACCCAATCAACTGTATAATTTGATTTTACCATAAGCAATTTCGGATTAAAGAGAATTTACAAATTGCAGCTTAAAATATATATAAAGTCAATGGCGGCTCGCTAAGGCCTAAAGCAAACAAATGAATCGTTGGGACGAAACATGCTTTTTTATTCCCTTTTTGTTTTTTTCGATGTTTGATTATAACAACGTGGCTTTTTGAGTGCACCCTTGGTCGGGGCAAACAGTATGTCAAGTTTGTTTGAATTGTTTCGATTTGTTTGTTCTCTATCATAAAAATATTTATCAGCTTAACAATTCAGTTTTCTAAATTTGTAGCTTTTGAGTTAGCATAAAAAAGTACACTCGGAAGCAACGAATCTGGAATCTGTGAAAATAATTGAAATGTTGATATTTTCAAAATAATTATCTTTTTACGAATATAATGCAATGCAATGTGTGCTCTAAAATTAGTCAGCTGTTATTCGGGTGACGGATTAAGAATACGGAGTATTACCACCCCTATTCATCCCATGGGTGTCGTAAGAGCCGACTAAGGGAACAAACTGTGCAAAACAACAGCACTGCAAAAAGAAGGAAAGCTTGAAACAAACCCTATACCAACACGTCTGGTTAGCGTGCTATAGTAGGCCAAAATCTGAATTGTAAGGAGAGGCCTATGTCCAGCAGTGGACTGTTAAGGGCTGTTGATGCGATTGGTGAATGTAATGCAAATATTTATTTGTCTATTCTACAAATACTCCGAGTTGCCGATATCTTCAAATGATCTTAGTGACCCGGATACATATCTCTCGAGCGATATTTTGTAAACCATAATAGCATATTATCAATTTATAAATATTATCATTTAATAATTTAATTTTATATCTGTATGTTGTCTTACTGTTATCATGTTGTGGTGCAAATAAATTCAATCATCCGTCTCGCAGTGCGTGTCGACGTGAAACTTTATTTCCTATGTCTGTATAACATTACGACATACTCGTATTGATTAGGGACTTTGTATTTTTATTCGCCAGGTAAAAAACAATATAAGCCTCTTATGAATCATGTTCAGTAAATGTAGTATAATAATGTTCTTTACAAAATTTTACAGCGTTTTCTAGACCCAAACTAAGTAGAGCTTTTGTAACTATAATAATTATATAATCTAATACATCTCACTACCAAACTGGTCAGGACCTGTACTGTGATGGTAACTAGACTACTAATTATCAAATTCATGTATTTAAAAATATATACATACTATAGATAAATTATACCCAGACACAGAACAAATGATCACATAATGATTTGTCCTGGGTGGCAATCGACCCACCCACCTCCGGCTTTGTAGTCAGGGTCACTAACCATTCGACAAACAGGCCAAAGATGGTAGCATCTGTAGATTAAGGGCAAGGCACTAATGGTGTGGTCAAATTAGCCGTAAAAACAGTAGTGAAGCTACAAAAAACGTATAGAGCTAAAAATTGGTATGGATGCTCGAAAGACCATTTTTAATGAATTTTGAAAAGTCCCCATGGATCCCGTGCCTGTTTTTTTTTAATTAAGGTCAAAGGTCTTACAAATGGGGTATTTGCATTTTTCAGCAAAGCAGCGTTTTATCATAACATTAGTTCAGAAAAAAATGTAGATCATAAAATTGTTTATAAAAATGTCTCAATACTTTTTTATTAGAGTACATTCCCAGTGCGGTAGCTGTTTTAAAAAAATGAGTCCGTCCTTTACTAGACTTAATTTTGAGACTTAATACTAAGAATGCCTAGCTGCATGTTCCACTTGATTGCGTATATCTCTGTGAGTTTTTGATACAGGATTTATTTACCGTAGAAAAAGCAGGTCTGAGTTACATTTCCCTGCAATTTTATTTGCCCTTCACTACCAATACTTCTCTGTGCAAAGTCTAGCTGTATCACAAATCCAGGTTTGTCATGTGAGTCAGCAAGTGTCAACATTTTGAAGTCTTAAAATACATAACGAATATCGTATAATATAGTATTTACTACAGATGAATGAATGAATGATAATGAAATCTAGTATTATTATTCCCTTATTCAAATCTGGTAGTACATCTAACCCAACTAATTTTTGACCTATCTCAGTACATGCAGTAATTGTTTTTTTTTTTTAAATTATGTATGAGCAATTATAAAGTGTTTATATTGATAAATTATCGAGTAGACTCAGCTCAGCAGCATACTTTGTATGAAAAATTCGAGAGTTGACTGATGTTGATACAGCACGACTTGTTTACTTCAGTTATTTTCATAGCCCCCCCCATACACAGTAGAATACCGTACGGCATTATTCGTACAGTATTCTACTGTGGGGAATGCTGCCGACATTCAAACTAATTTTGTTCTGCAAAAGAGAGCGATTCGAGCACTTTATAATTCAGGCAATCGTAGTTCATTGAGGCAGAAATTTAAAGAAATAAACATAATGACAGTGTCAAGTCAATATATAAATGGAAATGTAATATTTGTTGATAAAAACAAAGATAACTTTTTAAAAAGAAGTGATGTACATTCTTTAAATACCAGAAATAGAAATAAAATTGTTATACCCGCCTCTAGGCTCCAAAAGATAAACAAGTCTTTTCTAGGTCAATGTGTACGATTTTATAATAAAATCCCAAATAATATTCAACATTCAAATAATTCATTCAAATAATAACAAATTTAAATCCGCAGTAAAACGTGGT